GTACGGAGCTGTCGCCTTCGTCCGGCTGAAGCTTGTCTTGCCGGAACGGCGTACTAGCGGTTGCACAGACCAGTACCACTTGTCATCGCCAGCACCGGCATGTCTTCTCGGGATTGCCAGTCTTACTCCCTCAAAGACCATGACGTAGCATGACTATCCGGGTTCGGAGCTGTGTAAAAATTCTCTGTGTTCTTTGGAGCCTGTCGAGAGTTCAGGCTCGACCATGGCCGGCCTGAGGCCTTCGAGCTGGACCTGGAAGAGCTCTCCACGTCTGTGAGGATGGTCTCCTGGACATGTGCAGGGATCCTGGATGAAGTTGCTGCTCCGCTCAAGTTTCCGAATCCTCCATGGCTCTAGATGTAGGTGCAGCTCTGCAGCTCCCGACATGTTGCACAGCCCTGCCAGGCCCCCCCCCCCCCCCCCNNGAGGATGGTCTCCTGGACATGTGCAGAACCCTCGAATCTGGGTGCTCCGCTCAAGCTTCCGAATCGTCCACCGACATGTTGCACAGCCCCTCCACGCCCCGCCCCACCCCTCACCCCGGACCCGGAGCATGAGGAGATCATCTGGTTGGCTGACCAGCCGCAGGGCCACCTGTCGACAACGAAGGGCGCTGTTGAACTGTGCATGACAGAACAGGATCAAGCCAGACTCAACAGCTGGTTTGCCTCGATCTGCTTCAAAGCTGCTGCACGAGAGCCCTCCTTCCACATGGCCTTCAACGCCGCAACTCCGAAGAAGGGCTTCGGGGACTGACGGGCTGCTTCTGCACACCACCGGCCCACTGCCGGCAATTCCAACCCTCCCCTAAAGCCTCAAGCCTTGAACGGTCTGGACCCTCGAGCTTCACCGTCGAAACCCCTGTGCAAGACTGCCTTGGCCACCAAGACCCAGCCCTTCGCAAAGTCTGACTTCAGCTGGGTGGCACGCAAGGCGTCCTACCAGTGCCCAAACCAGTTCTGAGGTTGCTGTGCTCCGGGGAACAATGCTTTGCTCTCTCCTTTCTGCCCTCAGGCGCCAATGCCCAACCCGTCTGCTCGAAAGAAAGAGCACGCTTGGCGTCTCTTTCGGCTACATCCGACTACGGTGTGGTCCTCTAGCTTCCGGAAAACTATCCAAGAAACCATTCGGATAATGCTGTGAGGGCGGAAGCCATTGCACGAGGAAAGAGCATGCACGCACCCAGCTGGACTCCCCAGTGTGCTATGTGAGAGCTACAGTTCAGACCGAGACTTCGGAACAGCTTCAACGGAACCAGCTGGTGGCTTGAAGTAAAGTCTTGTGATCTCAGCGATCTCCCAAGCGACTCCGACATCGCTGATGTGTCTGCACAAGCATGCACAAGCTGCAGAGACTTCTGAGCGTGGCTCTAGTGACTCTAGTGCTTGGGACATCCGTGCATCCAGTCGAAGGCTTAGCCTTCTGTTTCTGGAGACTGCTCACACGGCACTCTTTCGCACAAGTGAAGATGAATAACAGTCGGGTGGAGTGTTGAGCAATCCCCAGATGCAGCTACTGCAATCTGGTCGCCCGTATGTTACCACAGAATTGGCAGCGCTGTGTCCAAACAACTCCATGTGTGGCGGCGGCCTGCCCAAGCGTGCAGGCTTTAAGGGCCCATAGCATGCTGATCGACCGCACCAAAAACTCCCGCGCCTCGCGTGGACGCATACAAGCATGGCTCCTGGATTCGCTGCTGCGATCTGTGTAGCTTCAAGGGTTATATACGACAGTGACTCTGCGTAAGACCATGAGCCCATGCCTGGAGATCTGGCCAGGTGTGGCTCCGCGCCAGCCCGTGGCCGTTTCCAGATCCTTCGCTTGCTTCGCTGACAGATCCTTCCTGCCAAGCAAAAAATCAAGTGAATTTGATGTTCTTCTTGGGGCTTCGATGCGTCCGATCGCATGGTGAACCGTCTCCGATGCATGCGCCTGCGTGTTCGCTCTCACGGGAGGCTGGAAGTGCAGCGAGGATTGACTGCATTCATCCTGCAAGTCTTGCGAAGGTAGCGGCGTTCCCAAAGAGCTGAGAATGCACGCAAACCGACCTCCGGGCGACCATCAGCTTCTTCACTCTGGACTGTCGAAAGGGACAGGGCCAAGCTGTCCGCGGCTTTGGAGAGGAAAGTGCCTGCTGCAAGCAACAATTTCCAGATGTCTCGGCTCAGTGCATGCTGCTTGCAAGGACATTAACTAAAGACCCGGCACGAGTGCTTCTGTCGGGGTGACATGTGGCCGGGCACCAGGAATGGACGAACGGACAAAAGACAGACGGTTGACGACCTTACCTATAGATGTCATGCTGGGTTTTCGGCGTTGACGCTAAATGTCACGACTAGTATGTAGATGCTGAGTTTTTTCGGTTTAATCTTCCGAAGACTCGCGTTCCCATATTACGATTTCTCAATGTCCGGTCTTGCAGCCGTACTTGCAGCTCAGGTGAATGGAAGACTCACCACACGTGCCCCCAACGCATCCGACTAAGGCTGCCCAATATGTTGACATGAACAGCCCGTCTTGTGTGTGTGTGTGTATGTGTATGTGTTTGTGTGTGTGTGTGGGTATGTATGTATGTATGTATGTATGTATGTATGTATGTATGTATGTATGTAATGTAATGTACTGTAATGTACTGTGATGTACGGTGATGTAGTGTCATGTTACGTAATGTAGTTACGGGTGTATGGATGTATGTGTGTATGTAATTATGCGTGTACATGTGCGTGTGTGTGCGTGTGCATGTATGTAAACTTGTATCTACATCTAAACATTTACGACTATGTGCTGGCAGCATCACGCTGCCGGCCTGCGGACAGCTCGCTCTGCACCGACAACTCGCCTGGAGTCGGCAGATCCAAGAGTAGGCCCAGGAGCCAGAGGGCTGGGACTGGGAGGCTTTGGGATTGAAAAGTTGCTACGACAAGCTGGCCCTCCATCTGCCGCCATGCTGCTGGAATTGCGCCCCCGGCACTGCCTCCCCAAGGATTGCAGAGCCGTGCGATCCTGGGAGTCACTGCGCATAGCTTCTGCTCCTGCCCCCTGGCCTCTGCTCTTCAGCCTCGTCGGGAAGCGTTCCGGGCAACTCCAACTCCGGTGGCCTGGCCTCAGGCTCCAGGCTTTGAGGGCTCGTTCTCCTTGGAGCAGAGCAGATGCGTGAAAAGGAACCACCTGGCCTTGTGAAGCGACCCGTGATGCTGCTTCTTGTAGAGGTGCCTGAGACTGCAAGATCGACACGGGACTGCATGTCCCGACATGCTCTAGGCTACAACATGGGGGCATCACCACTGACCCGCTCCGTATCATCGTCGCCTGGGATAAACATCAACTGCCTGCCAGCCTTCTGGGCATGTGTTGCAGTCCAGCTGACAAGCTTTAGCTGCCGGTTCTCAATGGGCCAACTCTATCCCAACTTCCCGGATACAGATTGTCTTCTGCTCCTGCACGCCTATTCGTGTAACTTGGTGCTCGCCTATCTTTCTTCAACCGTGTGAAACCACGATCCGCAATGTATCGAGGCTGCCAAGCAAGCTCCGCCGCGGAGCCCGGCAAGCTCTCCAGCAGCGATACCTCTTTCTGCATCATTCCCCGAACCTATTGCTAGGGAGTTGTTGATGCACTGTCCGACAGGCCTTCGAGGGATCCTGCACCTGCTTCGTACCGATGAAATGGTGCTCGGGCTCCGCTCCTGGGTCGTGGCGCGAGGGCCAACCTGTCTAACCCTCCGCCTCCGCCACAGGAGCCTCCGCTGTCTGGCTGTCGAGGCAGAAGCTCGTCCTCAAGCGCCAGCAAGAGCTTTGGACTCAAAATTCCGTCTCAGCTCCCTGGGGCTTGGGGGCGAGGCATGATTCTTGAAATGGGGCCTCTCGAGGTGCCTTCTGCCTGCTGCTTACTTTGCTGTGTGAAGGGCAGGCCCCGCCCGTTTCTCAACTTGGCTGTGCCATTCTCCATCCCTCTCAGGCCTACAACTGTCCACTGTCCATACGACTAGCAGAGTATCACCGCAAAGGGAGTTCCTACCTAAGCCCACCCTCTGCTTGCAGGACGCTCAGTGGGAGAATCGGGACAACATCGATTCACCATCCCGTGCATGCTTTTAAGAAACAGGACACCCAGGAGGCGAAGCTGGTTTAAGTCTAGGGATTTAGGGTTTAAGCCTAGGGCATCAACGAGTTGTGCCCTTGTCCCAGACGATGGGTTTCCACGACAGAACTAAAACATGGGACCAGAAAGTCCCCCAACAAAGCATGCTTCGACTGCGGCAACGGGCCTTGAACTCAACCAGCCCTGCGCCACCGAAGCTGGCAGACCACAAGGACAAGCTGGCGATGAAACCGGTGTCCTGTCGAAAGCTGGTGCTTTGAAGAGACTTCCGATGCGATTTCTCGCAAGAGGTCCTGGTTGAGACGACCCCACTGCACACTGCAATTGCCGAGCTTCATCTCAACACGGCCGGAGTCCTTGCATGACTAAACATCTTCTAGAAGATGCAGCTGCCTAAAGTCACTGAGACATGGGAGTGAGGGTTCGGGTTCCGAGCCAAGGCACGGCCAGTGCCAGCAGCATGGTGTATGGTTTCTCTCGCGGCACGAGGCTTGACTCCTGTCAGGACATCAAGTTGTCCAAATCGAGGGGGGGCGTGCACATGGTATTATTAGGCAGCCTGCGGCGCCGGTCCTGCACGGCCAAGTCCTCCAAGTGAACCGTCTGGTTTGTCTCGTCCTCGTGGACGGTAGCGCGGGTCAAACTCAGGCAGGAGCAAGAGATGTTGGCGAAGTGGACTGTGCCAAGTCTTCGATTGTCAGCATTCTCTGCAGTCATCTCGGCTGCCCAAGCAATGCAGACCTCGCTGCTTGCAGAGGGCAGTGTGACCAGAATGGCGTACTTCACATAGTTCGGGCCTGCTGGTGATGGCCTCACACCCCTGGCCGTGGCTCGTGTAAAGGAGGCTCCGTGATACGCAGGGCAATGATTCACAGCCTTCATCAAGAGCCCCCAGCGCCGCTTCTGCACCTCCTGCGCTGCCAGAAGCTTGGCGGCTTCCCGGTCAATCTTGTCCGTTGCATCATCAGGATGGAGCCTCGACAAGTAGAGTGCCAGGCGTGACACCGCCTCATTTTCGAGGCCAAAGGCCCTAGAGAGGAACAGGGCTGCTCTTGAGATCGCCTCGTTCGGCCGGGCAGAGTCGTGACAAGTGCGGCTCATGGTCAGGAGCTGCGCCTCTCCGCCGTGAGCTTGCCGCAGATTCCTCGCATGATCGGAGGACAACAGCTCATCTTCGGCCGCGTGCAAAAAAAGCCCAGGCACAAAGCAGGACCTGGCATACTCAACAGGATCTGTAGGTGTCTTGCTGGAGTCGGTTCCAGGACCCAGTAGCCAGCTTCCAGATGCTAGCTGGCATAGGCCTGCCAGTGGAGCTGACAGCACCCCCGGCACTTCCAGCAAGGATGCCAGATCGGAGTAAGCACTGTCGCACACGATCGCAGCCAGTGTAGGGTCCTTCGCCGCTTCCAAAGCCGCCACAGCACCAGCAGAGCGCCCCCAGAGGGCCACGTAAGGATAAGGCGGGATGGCTTTATGGCCTTGCCGCAACATCTCGATGGCCGCTGCCACGTCCTGCTCCAGGCAGTGGCTTGTCCCATGCGAGCTCACGTCGATGGCGAAGATGGCAATGCCGAGCGGGAGCAGTTCCGGACCTCGAAAGGGCACTTCGACGGGCACACACCCGACCAGGGTCGCCCTGGCCATGCCAGGGCCTCTGCGCCAAGGTGCAAAGTTCCAAGCACTCCTCCGCTCCTGCGCCGCCCTCCCGCTCGCTGGGGCAGTAGACCACCACGCACCTGGGCATCACGGCAGCAAGAAATGTAACAACACCCAACAGTAACCAGTTCAGAGATGCTAGGCAGCTACGACTTAGTGAGGACCTGGGCCTCTTAGCACAGGTTGTCACTATCACGTTCGCGCGCTGGTCGCAGATCCAACTACAGTGAAGTCTCCCTGCTGTGCTCGCGCAGTGGTACCCTGCGGGGTTTGTCTGAAAGGTGCTTTACAGGCTTGTGTGACAGACCCCCCCGATTGCAGTCGAAGTGCCGCCGCTCCACTGGCAGCTTTGGATCCAGAAGGCGGCCTACGAAGCCTCTCCGAGAATCATTGGACGTTTGAAGAAAAGGCACGTTCATAGCTCAGCACTCAAAGCCGAAGCCCATTTCAGCAAATGAGCATCTCCCCACCCTCCCAAATTTCAATTTCTAAACCTGAAACCGCACCGTTTGCCCGTACCCGCCTCGCCGTGGTCCGCTGCGCACCGAGAACTTAGCCACCTCACTCTTACGCCATGTCGTGTATGCTTTGACTCACTGGCGTCAAGGGCATTCTTGAGATTGCAGCATTGAAAACCTGCAAGTCTCAGCTTTGTTTGGCAGGAGCCACGGGCGGCTTTTGAAATCAGCAACGGCCCTCCCTTCGTGGCTGCACTCTTGTGCACAACAGGTCTCGTGGAGGTCATCGCACTGCGGTGCCCTGCTTGCACTCAGGTTGGGTCTTTACACTTGCTCAGCTTCTTTCAGGGTCAGCGCCTCCAGCGTGGTGTGCCACCCGATGTCGATATTTCTTCATGCTCGAGCCTTCTGAGCGGGTGTCCTTGCTCTCGAGATGGCTGCCGGATCCGTTGGGTACGTTACTCAAACCCGCTGGTGCTTTCAAGTCCCCCGGCCCCGGCACCCAAACGACTGAACCACAGCGGGCACCCAAATCAACCGAGCTTGGCCACCTCCGCTTGAAGGCCAGGCAGCGCACCTCCGGCAGAGCTTGCTCACGGGGGAACGAGTTCAAAGAAAGTGTGTGAAAACTTAATGCAGCATGACGGAAACAGACCACCGGTTAAGGAAAGCCACTCGACTCCACAACTGGTCACCTTGACCTCAAAGCTTGCCTAAAGCCTCAAAAAATTCGATGCCGGGTTGCCAAGGACTTGGCGCACCTCGCGACTCGCAAGGCTTTTCGACACGTCCGCGCATGTCAAAGCCCTGCCCTGCATTGCCCTGTCACCCGGTGGCCTTGGCGCTGTGGACTCCCCGCCGCCTGACCTCCTGAGACAGCTGTGACGGCAGTGCCAGGCGCCGGAGTGCCGCAAGCCGATCCTCTGGGCAAAGCTCCGAATCCCGACATGTCCCCTGTCAGCAACACCCGGCTCGTAGGCTCGTAGGAACCCTTGCGCCGAAGACGGGCTGCACGACTTGCAGCCATCGCCACTAGCCACTAGATCACTAGATTGTGCCTCCATCTTGGGACAGGACTACGTGATGGCATGATGCTGAGCAACGCCTGGAACTGGTCCATGCCAGGGATGTCTGGTGTGGACTGCCTAGGTGCCGCTGCCATGCACGCGGCTTCAGGGTGCCCTTGGCTCACCGTGACGTGCCGTTGGCTGGGGTGCTGTCCAGAGTCAGGCAAGTTGCCGCAAGCTGTCGGCACGCTCATGGGGCAGCCATCGGTAGGTGAAGGAGAAGTGCAACAAGCCGGCTGTAGACATCGAGGGCGACAAACAGAAGTGTCAAATGAGCTAAGTCGTGCGAACAGACCTACCAGGTCACCAGGTCCCGAACCCGAAGTCTGAATGCAGAAGCGCAACCTCTACCAATCTAAATCCTTGCGGAACCTTCAACCCGGCATGGGGGAGTCTCAAGCTGAAGACTTGTAGCCTTCAGATTACACTCGCTTTTGCACGCTCGATGGAAGGGCTCCTCCCGGCAGAGGTCCCAGTCCTTCAGTGCCGAGTGGCACCTTGATGCTGTATCCAACATCCGACTCAAGGCCATAAACGATCAACACTTGCTGCCAGACGCGTCCTCTATGAGCTGAGGCACAGGGCTCTGTTGCTCCAGAGTCTGTAGTTGCTTGGTGTTAACCTGACGGCAGGCAGACAGACTCTTCCGGCTTGAGGGTTTTAACCGAGGGCACGACTTCATGGCATCGCTGTACCTCCGCGTGGTGAATGCAAGATTGCGAATAGGCAAGATTGTCGGGTACTCATTCACTGCAACATGTGCCACACAAGTCATCTCTGTCTTGTTGCATGATCCGAGGTACTTCTTGATAGCGATGCGAAACCTTGGCTAAATGATCATGAGAATTGTCAACGGCAGCAGGCGAAGTTCAAGCGGCAGGCAACCAGGGCATACCAGGGCCGGGGCTTCTGCATGGCAGCCATGCGGTCGGGAAGGCTGTCAGCCTGGGCATCCAAACCCGGGGTCTGGACTGGTCCTGTCTGCACACTCCAGGGATCCCAGCATCATCGCCTGCTTCCCGGAGCATGGCCTGCGCCTGCCAAGGCTCCATGACATGCTACAAGAGGGGTTTCTGTTCCGAAAGCTCGAGCGGCTCGGCCTGCCGATAGAGCTCGTTGCCTGCACAGAGTTTCCGGCGGCCGTCTCAACATCCGTATTCAAGATGTCACAAGGAATCCCAAACATGAATCGCTTCTCTGCTAAGCACCCATGTCGCCTTCACTCCGCAGGGCTTCTGCCTGCAGCTTAGCTTCTGCTTTGGCCCTGGCCTCCTGTCGCACCGACAGGCAGAAACGGTTTTGAGGCTTCCTCAAGTCCGGTCTCCTCCTGATCCTGCTCCGGCTTCTCTGACTCCTTGGCCCTGCTCTCAGGTTCAGCAGGTTCATGCCTCTTCCTGGCCCAGCGTAGTAAGCGTGGGAAGCAACAAAGGCAACACATCTCATCAAAGCGACCTGCTGCTGCTACGGTCTCGCCGCGGAGGAGGCTCCGGCGGCGCCCTTGCTCACGGAAGCTGGCTTCCATGCTGGGGTGTATATACATACATATGATTCAAGCATAAAACATATAGAGTAGAAATAGACCAAGGGGGCACAGCCTCTCTTGCAGTGAGTTAGCGTATGGGATTTTCCGAATCTGTCCAAACGCTTCAAGGCTGCTTTTCTCTGCGCCAGATGACGTCGTATGCCTGCAAGGTGACACATGCAGGGCACCACAGTCAGTACAGAGCGTTGGTAGGTAAGCTTCCTCACAGCAAGAATCACTGCTGGGCTGCCCCGGCTTCAGGACCGTGCCGAAACAAGGCATGATTTCAGGACACCTGCTGTTGAGCACCCATGCTGCCTCGCGGAGAGCCGGGAATCGTAGAGCCTCCCAGGCCTGCCCGGAGACGCGGGATCAGCACACGCAGGCTTCCGGAGTGTCCGTTGGCCAAAGCTCAAAGCCGAGCCTCATTCAGCGACTGAGTCACCTGCGATGGGAGAAAACTGAAAACTCTTGAAGAGCCTTTGCAAATCCAGAAGCCATGCCGGCGAGGCGTTCTGGCCATAGCCCCCTGCACTCCACGGCCGCTTGTCCGGGTGGAACCTCGGCTCTAGAGCCCAAAAGGGGCCCCCGCCACTCCAGGCCAGGCTCGGCTCGCGGCTCTCGAAGCTTCTCGTGGTAGGCCTCCACGGAAGAGAAGTCCCACGGCTCCAAAAACGCTGCCACTGCCGGGGCCATCGCCTTCTTCAGCTGCTCCAGGGAGCTGTCCGGAGAACAGCCCAGCACAGCCTGGCGTCCCAACTCTGGGAAGATGCGGAGATGGCGTCTGCTGAGGCACGTAATGATCCACGAAGGGCTTGGCCGCAGCCATGGTCCATGAGGCCCATGGCGACGGCGGATCCAAGGACTCTGCGTTGGAGGTGTCATGAAACATCATGAAACTGTGGCAGGTGGTGGGCTGTTCGAAACAGAGGGCATCTGGGCAACTGCTTTTTCACCGGGCTCCAAGCGGGGACAGCAACCATGACATGGTGGCTTGGCGTTCACAAACCATAGAGGAATGTAAATCGTTCTGGCTGAGTGCGAGCTATATTTGAACCAGGCACAAGCAGCGATCCGAACACCGGGGGCCAAGTTCTGCATCGAGACTCACCAGAGCCAGAGGTCACCTTGCCAGCAATCATGAAGGCGGGATGCTCCTTTGAGCTGTACCTGTGCAGTGGAGAACGACAGTCTACGACAAAGCAATGGGAGAGTTCATGGCATCACCATCTACAAGACAGGACGCGACCCATGCTGGACAGGACATCCTGTTCGGTGACATGAAGCACTCGGTCCCTCCAGGGCTCTCAGAAAACACACGCGGCAGCGGGAGATGATGCAAACCGAAAGCCAAACAGGGAGGTCGCCACTTGCAACGATCCGGTCTGTCCATCATGGAAGCCTCTTTGGCCTCTAAATACCTCAGGTAAAGGTTGCCCAAGGAAAGGCAGATGGCTTGCGCAGATGGTGTGATGTGGCGTGGCTGAGCAACTCACTGCACTGGAAGGCGACGGAACTGTCCCAACTGGCAGAAGGCTTCTCCATTTCCGGCGCCGTGCCATGCAAACTCGACTCAACCTCACAGTATCTCACAGTAATCATGTCCTCCCCTTTGGCCTCCTGTGGCGCGGCACACGGCCGACGGAAGACTTTCGGGAGCTCCTTGCGGCCTCCACACCAGCTTTGAGGTCTCTGATGTTCTTTTTTGGGACGATGTGGGGAAACACAGTCCGCCCCTTTCGAACGCAGGCCCGCTGAAGCGGGAGGTCTCAACAGTTCAACAGGTGGACACAGTCCCGCGTGAACAGCCGCCTGAGACGGATCTAGTTTATCTAGAATCTAGAACTAAATGATGGCTGCAGCTTCTGCAGCATCCGCATCCCAGGAACTGAAAGCTGCTCCTAGTCCCAGGCCGAGCTCGGAAATGGGCACACGAAATCGGATTCTAATCGGATTCCAAAACACGAGCAACATGGAGATGCGTTGGCGGTCGCACTAGGAACAGGACGGAAAAGCGGAATGCAGAAGAAGCCACTGTACATGCAGCTCTCTATTGGGGCTCACTCTGAGCCAGGCTCTGCTCCAAGTCTGTGCAAGAGCTACGGCCTCCATCAGGTAGGGTCAAGGTCTAAGGCCTCTAAGGAGGAGTCGTTGGCTTGTGGCGCGACCAGCGGCGCAGCGTTATGTGCCCGTCATGGGATTCAGAGACCTTCGAAGGCATCTGCGTGGTAGGATGGGGAGGCGAGAGATGAGCTGCCTCCGTGCTGAAGCTAGAGATCAGGAAACCGGCCATGATGCCTTTGAGCCGTGTCCGGGCTTTCTTGGCTTGGTTTCGTACGGCCGGCCAGCCTTCCGTGTCCTGCCGACAGCTCCAGCGCATCAGGCCTGCAACGGTCGGCTTTCGCTAGGTCATCAGCTTTGTCCCACCGTCACTAGGACGGTGATTCTAATCATCATGAGCAGCAGCAGACCCGTAAGCATCACCATCCCCAGCATCGTCACTGCTTAGCAGCAGCATCATCACAGATCATCACCACCAGCGCCAGGATCGGCATCGGCATCATTATCGTCATCATTCTGATTGCTGAGCTGGCAAAGACGAAGAGGCAACAGAGCAAACAGTGGTGCAAGGCCCATGTTGGAGTTTCCGGTCTGCTCCGCAGGTGTCGAGGCTTGCGTTTAGGCCTCACTTTCGGCAAAAACCCGTGCCTAAACCCCACGAGTCAGCCATGGCGTCGAACTCGCACACCCGCTCTATGGCATCGGTGAGGATCTTGTCCTGCCGTTTGCGTGCGAAAACAAGCCGGTTCAAGCGCAGGAACATGCCGAACCCTGCGCCGTTCGAACACTTCGTGTCCTTCTCGGTGGGCTGCACCGTAACATAGTGTGAGAAAAGACGTCGCAAAGCTTGCGAGATGTTCGGGCTAGCCTTCCGCACCTCTTCCAACTGATGACGAAGGTCTGCTTCCGACATGCGGTCCAGGAGACTCATTCGAACACGCAGCTTGTAGACAAAGTGATCCCCCTCACTACGGCTCAACATTGTCTCTTGGAGCGTCTCTGTGTGATCTGCCATCGTCTTGAGCTGTGCGGGAGCACTGGGAGTCACCGTCGGCTTCGAAGCTGGAGACGCTTTGAGCTTCCAGGCTTTCGTGGGAGAGGCAGTTGATGTTGCCGGACTCGTCTCTTGAGGTTCAATCTGGGACTTCTGCATCTTGGCATCTCTTTTCTTTTGCTTCTCCTTCTGCTTCCACTCCTCCTTTCTTTTTCGGTTCTGCTCCCGTTTTAGTGCTTGCGCTGCCTCTTCCTTTGCTTGCTGAGCTTCAGCTTCTGCAAGCCGTCTGGATTCCTTGGCAGCAATCTTCTGAACTGCCATTCGCTGCCCCTCTTCCACAGCCTGTCTCTTCCGTATGGTGAGAAGCTTCTTCACCAGCCCTGCGACCTTCTTGTTGTTCCGGTTCTCTATTTTGTGCCTCCGCTCGGCTTCCTTGTCTTCTGCTGCTGCTTTGCGCTGCTCCTGGATCAAAGGACGGATAGGAGGGCTCGAAGGAGCTGCACTCTTGTGAAGACGGGGTTCGGACCCTGAGTTCGGAGTCTGGTTTGGGCTTTTTGGTCTGAGTCTTCCCCACCCCTTGGCCCCGCACCTCGAGAATCACGCTCTTCTTCAAATACTCCTGGCTCTGCAATGTCAGCATGCGGCGGAGCTGTCCATCGTAGGCGTGCTGGATGGCACTTGCCAGACTCAACAGGTGCTGGACTCTGATCTGGATGATTATCGGGGAGTCATCTTCGGAAGAGCGGTCCAGGATAGACTGCATCTTGGCAAATGCCTTGTGAGGGCCAAGACCAAGACGGCTCCAAAACTCCAAGGCAGGTCCAGCTTGTCCAAAACATGCGTGTAAAAGGTCCAGGACACTGCGTGCAGCTTGAACGCATCTGCCTGCACCATGCCGAATTTCCGAGACTTTGGAGCCTTGCCTGATGTCGGCCGAAGCGCATCGCAAGTCATTCAGCAAGCCTTGTATCGTCTTCAGCATGGGTGTCAACATATCCTGCAGCACAACATCTGCTTCAACAGATGTACTTCTGAGTCGCCACGTCGCAGTGAGAGTGGCAGCCATAGCAGGAGCCGGCACAGCCCCTAGGAACTGCACGATCAGGGATGCCGGGCCCTGCAGATTCTGCCCGAGCGTAACAAGCGCCATGGCTTTTAAACCTACAAAGCCCTGCGCTGTACGCTACACCCGCCTCGAGACTCAAGGCTGAACGTCGCACCCCGAGCTAATGAAGCAGACACCATCGGCTCTAAGACCACATGACAGGCAACGATGCTCCGACCTTGAATTTGACTCGCTGCCAGCTTCTTCTTCGCCAGCAAAAGTTTAGCGGCATCTTCCTGTCTACCGGGCGAAAGTCTGCGAGAGGCGCAGGGGGCGGCAGCTTTTTAGTGCCTCCTGTTGCCGCTTTCGCAGCTCGACCTTCTGCTCCCCGAGGCGCGTATTCAGCTGGCTGAGAGTCTGAGCCAATGATTTATAGCCAGTGTACTAGGTCAGATACTACGCACAGAGCAAGCTGGGTCCGGCCTCCCACTCTTCTTCTGCTTCGGTCTTTTCGGTCTCGACTGCTGTCATTGACATGGTAGAGCCCTGCCTCTCACAGTCGAGACATTTCTTCAAAGCATCCGTACCCGGTAGCAACATACCGAAAGCTACTGCAGGAGCTGCATCAAGCAGACTCGCCTGCACAGACTATCTTCACTCTGACTGAGGTGTTCAAGTTTTTCGCAGCTGTGCTGATCTGTGCCGTGCCTGGACGATGCTTTCCTGGCAGCTTCCGAAGCCGTGAGGGTGATTTAAGGGGCCACAAGCAACCATCATGAGAAAGGTGGTGTGAATCCTTGAACAACCCCCAGTGCTTGGATGGCTCCTTGCCGGCATTGGCACTGCGTCCTCTTCGAGGAATGGCACGCCTGCAGGCCTCGCGACGCGCGACAGAGCAGAAATTGAAGTTCGAAAGAGAGGTACTCTTACTGAGGCAGCCGCGGAAAGGAAAGGCAACGAAGGCAACGGCAAGGCCGACAGGAAGGGCTAGTGACTTAGTGGAAATGGAGGCTATGGGGCGCCTGTTTTCCAGTACTATGTCAGGTGATGGTGACTGCGAAATATTGCGCAGTCTCTCGACTGCTCTCCCTTCTTTCGCATGACGCTTCTCAGAAGCTGGCAAAACACCACGCAAGTAAAACCCTATCGTGCGCAACGTCTTTGACATCATCTTTGGTCGGCGTATTCCTCGCTCGCCTTGTGAAACTGCAGTGGAGATCGTACCAAGGTTGAGCACGGCAGAGCAGATCACAGCAAAGCAATCTCTCGCGCCACTCACCAAGAGACAAGAGTTCCAGTACCGCACAACGCACTCACAATCGGGTCAGCAAGCTTTTGGCAACAAGCTAAACTCCGCAACTCCAGCCCCTGTACTGGTTTGGAGCGCAAGGTGCTGCGAAGGCCAGGTGCAACTGCTTCAAGAGGAGTGCTGAAGTGCTCTAATGTAGCACTTTCAATCACGCATGCTGCAATCCATCAACTATACACCCGTTCTGCAACACCTGGTCCACTTTCGAAGTGCGTGAAACGTGCAAATTGGCTGAGCAACCACCGCGCACAACGCCGGAGCAAGCATTGCCACGATAGGGGCTGCAGAAGACTTCTGTCGCTACAGCCGTGTCCAGGTTGCGCGTTCTCGGTGTTTGGGGTTTCCCAGGCAAAAACTTGGAAGACAAGCCGTGAGACCAGCCACTGTTCAGTGCCCTCAAAGCGCTGAGCCAGCGTGGCAGTCGAGGCTAAACTTAAGTTGAATCTCACCGACTACGACAACTGCAAAGGCTCCGTTATGGTTTGGGAAGCCTTCAAACCACGACTCAGAATCAAAAGGCCAACAAGCTCAACTCCTTGCTTCAGTCCTAGGTCTTCTCATGCAGCCAGTTCTTGAGCGAAGTATAGGCCTGCGCAGGCTGTGCGAGCTTGAGAGCCGATGCGAGGCCAACCGGGCACCTGCTCCACATCCATTGCCAGTTGCCGGGTCTGTTCTTCTGTCAAGCGGTCCGAGGCCTTGCATTGCAAGGACACAGGTCAGATGTCGAAAGCCAGTTCCACTCTCCGAGCTGCCGACCCGCATGCCGTTGAGCGTGACAAGCCACCTGCTGGCAGCCGCCAATCGAGGTTCAGGTGCTGCAAGTCACTTCAACATCCGACGAGGATTGCGCACCCAGCAATGCGCTCTATGCCAGCGAGGGGTGGCAGGTTGGGAATGCCCACCTCGGCCAAAACATGAAAGGTTTCAACGCCTCGTCATGTACGAAGCATTAAAGGTTTCGGGTATGGTGACTGCACCTACTGCTGAGTACATGCAAGAACCAATCAACCGCTTCTGCGCAAAAAGGTCGAAATTGCATTGCTTTGCTGCACCGCATTCGTCTTAGCACCCAGCAATGCTCGCCTGCACACGTGAGCCAAAGAGCCCAGCCGTTGTCAAGCGAGCTGTTTTAATACTCATTTCTGTAGTGACACAAGGCAAATGACTATCACGCTCATCGATTGTGCACAACAGCACGAAGAGAAGCAGCTCCACACAGCCCCTGCCACGTGACCTGCAGATCTCGCACGAGGGGCAGCAGCTCGTCCACTGCCTTTTGCAGCAGAAGCTGTTTCGTGTCCGAGGAGCCCGCTTTCCGGCCAAGTGCGGTACATTCATGTTCAACTTGACGGCATCCACCAGGGTGATGAAGCCCTCAGATGCCTCCACACGTGTCAACACAAAACCCTCCCGAAGCTCCTGCAAAACACTCTCCGACCTTGAAACAGGCCAAACTTTCCTTGCCAGTCGCCGCTGTGCCACCAAAAAGGGCCTGGACTCCGAACTTTCTCGCAAGTGCGAGAAGGCATGAAGGCGGCTGCAAGAGCCAGACCGTGGCGGCCACGCCAGTTTCCAGCAGGCGTGCCTCTGCCAACGGGCAATTCATCCTCGGCGGATGGCAAAGCTCAGAGATGCTCAGAGCTTCCTGATTTCTGCTCGCTTCGACTGGGAGCACGGCCCATGTTCCTTGGCAAAGGCACGGATGTCTGGGCACCTCGGAGAGTGAGACTCTTTCAGCTGATCGGAATCGACATCTCGTCTCACTGAGCTCGGGACTTGTCTTTCAGCCCAGTCCTCAGACAGGCAGTAGAATCTAGAAGTCTGCAGCTTGCTTCGTGAAACCGACCGTGACGGGCGGCTTCAGGGTCTTGAACTGTGTCAGGAGTTGTGTGCAGGTCCGTTCGTAATCCTGACGCGAAAGAGAAGTTCAGACGATCTTTGACCATGTGAAGCTGTTGCCACTCAGGTTCATCGTCCTGATTAGACACGGCACCGCGAACAAATGCTGCTTCCAGGTGCTCTGTGGCCACCTCATCAAGCACCGGAACAGCACCCGCAGGTCCAGATCGAAACTCTGGGCCCCCCGCCATGATGGAGTACAGCTCCGCAAACATGGCAGCTTCACGTCTCTCCTGACCACTTAACAATCCTGCACCCTGGGTTCCAAGCACCTACTTGAGGCGCTGTAGAAATCCGTGGCCCGCAGGTCTCACGCAACGTGCTACTGCAAGGCACTGTTGGGGACGAAAGACGAGTTCGCCCGTCGCCTCTCTCGACAACGCTGTCCCTCTCTTCGGAGCCTGAGAGGCCGTTTTGCCGCACAAGCGCGAAATTACCCCACTCTGTTGCGGGGTTGACCCGGCTCTACTGCATGCGTGCGACCCTACTTACTGAAAGGCGTGTATAGGCCAGACATCAACAAAGAAGTGTCCACACTATCCGACGGCTTCGAGGGGTTCGAGCTTCAACTTCAAGGGTTCATGCAGCATGTAAATTAAGTTTCGTTTGTACACCGCCCCTACAGACTTAGCCCCTTCTAAGCACAGGACCGCCGGTGGTGCCGTGGCTTCCTGGAGGGCCGAAGGTGCCCAAAGGAGGGCATCCGGGATCTCCAAAACGAAGCTAAATATAGCCCAAGCTGAGGCTAATGAGCCCTCCCCCTCTGTGTCCTAACGCATGGAAGTTGGGAAAAGGGGTCTTTTTGGTTTGTACCGTGCTCTACCAATGAAACTGCGCAGCTTTCACCCTTGTCGAAAGTGCTACTATCTATCGCGGCTTGACTGGAGTCAATTCACGACTTGAGTCAGGTGCAATTTCAGATGTTCCCCGAACCGCAAGACAGTAAAAGCCTTGGAACACAGAGTGCCATCACACATTCCCACTGCTGAGAACGGTGCTGCGGGAGGAGCAGACGGTGGTGCCGAGGCCACTTCCTGGGCGTACTTGCTTCAGATTCTGCAGCTAGGCGAAGAGAGTGCCCTTTCACCCTACACCCAACAATGATGTCTGACATGTGGTACTTTCCAAAACCTCCGCAAACTTGCGGGAAAAAACTCTGCAGTCGTTCATGCCCATGGCCCATCAAAGTCCAGGTTGCCCATTCAAAAAAAAGGAAGTTCTGATTTCATAGCTTCTCGGCTGCAGTTCGGAGAAACGATCGGATCACTTGCGGAATCCTACGCACCAAGCGACGGTGCTGAAACAGTACATGCATAGACAACAGGGCTCAAGGCGACGAGAATTCGTGGTTCAATCGCTCCGCTGCGCTCTCGAAATCTCGGGTGACAAGGAATCCGAGTGTTCGATCTCCCTTGATGAAAGTTGCCGCAAGAATTCCATGACTGCTCTTCGACGAGATTCCCGAGATGCGGGATCTGCAATGATGCGACAAAGACTGAGGCTGAGGATTCGGCCTCTGCAGGAGGTGCGGATGCAACATCCTGGCTAAAAGGCTTAATTGGGATTCGCCCCACTCAGGCGGATCTACTTGCATAGACCGGTAAGGTCTGAGACTGGAACTGCAGCTGGGATGGGCACTGCCTCTTGTGAGCACAAGAGCAAACGACTCTTGATGCTGCACTTGTAGCAAGATTGCTGGCTGATTCTAGCACCTCCTCCGCCGATGTGTAGCCCGTCGGGGCAGCCTCGGTGCAGGAAAAGCAGACGCTGAGCCTTGCTCTTGGGCTCTTGGGCCCTGGGGGGCTCTTCGAAGATCTCAGCACTGCACGACTGCCCTAGGTCGTTCAAGCTCAGCCATGGCTGGTTACTTGCAGAGATGCACGCAGCAACTGAACTGGACTTGCTCGGGGACTTGAAAAGTGATCAGCATTGGGGATGCCAGGCATGCCATGGGCAACACGTGTGTCTCTCTTGGGTCCAGTTCGAATGGCTAGAAGAAGCGGCTGCCAAATCTTCACGCAAAAGCTTCTGCATCCGCACAGCGCCTGTTTGGAGCACTTGAGGGGCGGGGTTCGGCCGGTTAGGCAACGAAAGCCACGAGGCTCGATTTGGTGCGACTGTCTTGTTCAGCAGCGTGGACTTTGGGAGCTGGTTGCGGCTAGTTTTCACAACACAGCTGACATCAACTTGCATATTGCAAAGGGAAGGGCAGAAGGGGGCCGGCGATGTTCCGAGAGGCTCTGCGACTAGGCAGCCAGAAGAGAACAAGAAGAACAGGCAGAACAGGTGCAGCAACAGCATCAACGACGACAATGACTACGACCACGACGACGACGACCACCACCACCACCACCACCACCAGCGCCGAGCGCCGCCACCACCCCTTCTGCTGCTGCTTCTACTGCTGCTACCACCATCGGAACCACCACCACCACCACCACGACGACGAGGACGAGGACGACGACTGCTACTACGACTGCTACTTCTTCTTCTACCACTGCTACTGCTACTACCACCACCACCGCCACTGCGACGGATGTTGTGCTAAACTGCAAGGAAGGATTCCTGGAGAACAGGCATGTCAACTTTCAACTCACCAGAATCTTCGACCATCGAGGGATGGGAGCCGAGCTCACCCTTTTTCCACATGTTGCACTAAGTGACAGTCCGAAGTGAAGTGGATGCCAACAGTCTCGGCTCAGTGCCTTTTCTGCCTGCCAGGGCAGTGCCAAACCTACACAGAAGGAGCGTACATAAGGGCAGAAAAGTGCCTGAGCGCGTAAGGGCCATGCATCTGGACCAATGCTTATGCTTATGCACCTCGGCGATGCGGGCTGCACTCCACATCTCACTTGGCACGGGGCATAGAGAGTGAGGCTTGGGCCGACTGCTTCGAGGCGATCCAGCCGCCGCTTGAGGCTTTCCAACTCCCTCTGCTGGTCAAGCACCGTCTTCTTGTAGTCATCGTGCTCCTAGCGACGCAGGACACAGGCCTGAAGATACCGATACCTAAGGCTTCTGCGGAAATGGCTCCTTCTGGAGATTCTGGAAGGCGAGAGTCAGCACCGCGATGAGGTCCTGCTTGCTTCAGGGAGATGTGCACGGCGCCGCGCAAAGGCGCCACGAAGGCTTCAGAGGGCGTTAGCTGCAGCCTACGATCGCACCCTTGACCCCCGCCCCAGCCCCTTATCCGGTTGTGTGCCTGGCTGGCAACCGCTTTCGTGTTGTCCCCAACCGTCCGAACCTTGGAGTCGGCAGCTTGGGCAGCTTGCAACAAGGAGGATGCGAGAGAACCGAGCACCACACCAAGTTGGGGAACACTGCTTCCAGCTCTTGCGCGATGAATCCGAACTTCAGGTACCTGGCACTCGATCGTCACACCAGTCTGTACTCCAAAATGCTGCTTTGGATTTGTGATGAAGTATCATCATGGTCTTTGGGCACTTGGCTTCCGGTCCCCGCTTCAGTTGGAAGGAGACTGGCCGCAGCTCGCCTCAGCAGTCGAGTCCTACTGCAACATCTGCGAGCCCGTCTCCACAAATCCGTACTTCCGCCCTCTTGTGATTCGTCCCTTCTGACTAACTTCTGCCCGGGCTTCCGAACCTACTGGGCCATCACTCTGACCGACGTCTAAGGCTCGGACGCAGCAGCCACTTCACCTGCTCACCTTCGCTGAGCCTCAAGAGCAAGAATGCTTGTTTGGACGCGTTGTCGCCGCAGCTCGCGAGCGGATCCACTGCTGGGCAATGTACTTGTCAGCTGCCGGCTGCGCTCCCGAATCGGATTCCCATCCTCAGCCAGCGAATCCCTTTGTCAAAGCGCCTCCTTAGCGTGAAGCAGCTGCACGTGAGAAAGAAAGCTAGGGCTACTGCGATCGCGCGCTCTGGTTGCGATGGTTTGGTACAGCGGCTGAATGTTGCGCTTGAGGCGCCTGTCCTGCGCAGGGCTTCACGGCCAGCTGATCGTGCCATCTGCTCCCACGCAGTTCCACAGTAACCACTGCTCAGAGCCAGGCGGACGTTGTGATACTGGCTTCTGCCGACCATGCACCTAGGTGGCCAAGCTGTGACACATCAGACCAGCAGGGCTGCTGCTGATACGAGTGCAGCGGTCTGGACATACACCATCGTTGGAAGAGCTTGCATTGCCAAACAGCAGGTTTCAGCTGAGCTCCGAACCATGCAGTGTGCCA